TATGTGCATAGGTTAGCTCCATCAAATTCATTATCAAAGCCATTTTTCTATTTGTTTACTTTTTCATCTCTTTCTTCATCAGGGAGATGTGTTCTTTGCAGGTTTCCTCTGTCTCACCTTCTGCTATCTCTGGTAATTTTCCACTGCCCATTTTCATTTTCTTCAGCTTGACTTTGTCGGGGCAGCTGGTTGCGGTGTGCTTCGTTTTATGCCACTAGGTTTTGCTTTCCTCTTGTTTTTTAGATGATTTTTATTGCTTGTTTCCATGAACCCTACAAATATAATATAAAAAAGAAACTTTACAAAATGTTAATCTGGACCAGTTTTAGATCTATTTATACTTTCTATATATATATAGTAAATTGCTATATATTCATTGTATTGACAAATTCAGTAGTGCACAATATATTAAAACTTACATCACATGCATTCAGTACACCACTTGCTCTTTTGCTGCACAGTCCACGCACATAAAGAATAAAGTCCCTACTTACCTAAACTACAACACACTGATATCACACGATAAACACACGACAGACAGGGTCTGATTGAAACAAATTTATAGTAAAAATTGCAACTAAATGTATCCACATCAGTTCATCAGATCTAATATATTTAGATCAGATCTAATATATTCAGAGACCCAGGCCACAATATAAATACGTTTGAATTGTGTTTTGTGTATTTTAAAAACATGTATGGCGAAGAAGGCGAACTGTTTTTATAAATAAAGTTTTTTTAAAATATTATTGAATGTTTCCGTGGGTTTCGCCAATTAGAAGCTTAGAAAGTTGTCCTATACTGAAATTATCAAGATCTGATATGTGAATCAGTGCAGCCATATGCATCAAATACTGATAAGTGAGCACGAATCTTCTGCATTATAAAATAACATTTATTTATTTATAAGATCATACGGCAGCCCAAAAAAGGCGTGTTGATGACAATAAATAAACCGAGTAAATACTGTACACGCAAGTGTTGCAACACGATTTTTTAGCTGCTAATGCTCACTGATAGATATACAGTAACAATAGTCCTTATGCATTAGGACATCAAATGCTTCACAAATACCAGAATTTCCTGCAAGAATTATCATAACATGCATATATTGCAATTATCTCAGGGAATTCTGCTCTTAGTGGTCACACAGAAATAATTGACATCGTAATTACAAGCCCATATCCACTGAGCGAAAGGCAAAGTATTTAAATATGAGCTGTGGCAACTAATTGTTTTAGTATAAATTTGGTATCGAAATTTGGTATACAAATGTTTCTCACAAATATGATTACGTACTTCATAAAAGTTCTAATAGAGAGGTTCTCATAATTATAAGAAATATTGGGGTGCAGTATAGTTCTTTTTCCCTCTAATTTTTAGGCTCTTTTTGGTGATCCTTGTACCATTTTTTTAATAAATTTTCTAGTGTTTTCCATGCAGCAAATGATTTTTATCGTCAAGTTCGAAAGCACATATAATAATAGCTGCTTTGGGAATGGTATCCACCCATGGTGTTGGCCCATCTTTACCATTCACAATGTGTGGTTCCCAAGCAGTACTATAACTCCCCTTCCAGAAATGCAAACAAAATTGATCATTTCCAACCTGTATTACTTTTCCAATGACTGGTCTTTTTTATAGTTGCATATATTTACTGCCACGAACACAATCAGGTTTCAAAGCAGCCAAGTAGTTGTCATCCATATTTATACCCCGGGATGTTGGAGCTTGATATTTAATTTATTTTTACCAAAGGCAGCGTTTGGTAGTAGCTATTTTAACTGTGTATAGCCAGCCAACAACGTCGACGAAAAAATTCGAAATCCAAACTCATTCGTTTCACTTATCATGATACTACAATTTATAGTGATAATCATCCAGTCCATATTTTAAAATAAAGAAGTTGATGAAAGTTGGCTGATAAATCTTTAAAAAAACAAACAAATATGCTCTCGCTCGGTCATAAAATATAGGATTCCGAACCGTCGTCAGATGTCGTAAAATTACAAACGACTTTAAAACGTCGAGATGCTTTACGTTTCGCTATAATACGGTTGAAGAAAGGCGTGACTTTCATACCATGACTTATAAGATGTGTTCAATTTTAAAGATGAATTTTTTTCTAAATATACTTTGATTTTTCGCTTAATCAATTTCACTTTTTCCGAGGACAATTCGCTCAATATCTTCGTGTTGAAAATTTCGCTATATTTAGCTATTAACCAATTTTTTCGATTGGCACCTTTTTTTCCTTAAATTGGTTGTATATCGAAGTTCCTAAACTATATTGTTTAGCTAATTCTGTCAATGTAAGTGATTTTAGCGCAACGCAGAGCGTTGAAAGAAGCAATGTTGCAGCAGTAATTAGACAACAGTAACGATAAAAACGACTTGATATTATCAAAACATCTTTATAAATGTTACTGTTATTGTTGTTGTAAATGTTTTGTGTTATTCTATTTTGAACATGGGTATCAAAATTTCACCATGTTTTCAGTGGATAACTATTATGTTTTATGTGTTTTTCTTTTTTTTGATATTTTTCGATGCGTGATAATATTTCTATATCCATTTATTGTTTTGTTATTTAAATTAAACGTCAGGCTTCCTATTTGTTATGTCTTATGTGTCTTTCAATCCTCTTTTATCTTAAATTTTTGTTCTTTGCCTGTGTGCCGTCCATCTACTTGATCAGTTTATTTTTCTTTCCTTCGCACTGCCATGTGACTATATTTAGTTGAGGAGTAATTTCTGTTCCATAAAAAGCTTCACCAAAAATATATTTGGACAAATGGTGGACTTGTGTGAACCAATCGGGAAATCCTAATTATTCCGTTATTGTGTGGTACGTCTCGAGTCGCAACTTGTTCCAGAAAAAACTGCCATACTGCGAGAACTAGGAACAAACAAGTACATTGAATGTGTTCTCATGATGGATAATCTTTACAAGAACATTTGGACGAACTTCACCGAAACACACATACACCAGCATAATGCATGCATGGTGCGTAAATTATTAATAGAGTATAATATATAAACTGCAAACCTTCATATTAACAAGAGATGATAATTTTAAAGCAGATTTAGTTTGTAAAATCCATTTATTCGATATTTATTTGTAAATGAACTTTTGTTATTTTAAAGGATGAATTACATTTTAGTTTTGCTATATCGTATTTTATCGTATTTCATCGTTAAGACGTCATCATTGTTAAGACGGTCAATGCTGTATAATGACTTCTGAAATTTATGTTATGAATTCCAAGAGTATGTGGTTACCATTGCGTCTTTGCGCATAAATTTGCCTGTAGATGTAAAAAAAGAGCTGAACGAAGACTACTCGAGTTTGTCCTTAATTTGACTGTAACAGTGAAGTACATTTAGGATGGCTCCCCACATGAAGTTTCCTTAATGTTAAATGCACATTTTCAACAGTGATATATATTTAGCGTCTTAATGTTTGGCTAGAAGACTAAATCTTCCCTTTTACCTGTCAAAAGACACTTCAAAATCGTTGATTTTTTACCATCGGTTTAACTGCCTAAGTGTGTCTAAAGCAACCATTTACATTCCAGTTCGATCAATTTTACGAGTCTGTCAATTTTCTGTATATTTAATTTTCAAGATAATAATTCAAGATTAGAAATATATTTTCAAAGTTTTAAAATGGCAGTTTTACCGACAGGAACCAAAATTTTAATTTAGTTAATTGCACTTTTGCAACGTTTGGTAGTTACTGGTTTAAACTCGTCTTAAACGGCGTGTATGTCATCATAGTCAAGTCTTTGAAACCTTTTTTAATGACAACTGACATGACTTCAATTAAGTTTAATAACAAAAATTTCAAAATTAGCCTTAAAATTACACAAACTAGGTGCTATGATATATCATGATATTATTTCATTTATTTATGATATGTTTGTATTCTATACATATTACTTCAGATATTGTTCACACAACAACAGCAGTGTGGAACGACCTTGCTTCAGACATTCTTAGAAGTTCTTCCCAAGAATATCTTTCAAAATTGAAACTTTCAACTGAATTCAGCTTTCCTTGCTCACCCCATCGTCCCAGGACTACAATATTGTTTTCAATAACCACGGCAGTATATCCAATTCTCTTACATCTCATTGATGGCAGCATGTGACTTTGTTCCATCTTGACATTGTAAATGATGACTGTATCTAATGGCTTACCATGTTTATCAGCACCACCATGCAAGAACAATGATGCTGTCTCCCCATCTTACGGTTGCCATATCCCTCACTTCATATGGCAGTGGTGACAACTGTTTCAGTTCATTCTTCTTTATGTTATACAGTACAACACTGCTGAGGTTGTTAAGGTATAGTATAGTTGTACCTCCACCAACTATCAACAAATTATCATCAACTTTTTCCATTCTGTGGCTTTGTCTCTGTTCTGGCATTCTTGACAAGGTCTTCACAGTATAGGGAGGAACGAGCTGGACTGATTTTATCAGGTCAGTTGTACCATTTTCTTTTACACCCCCTGTAACTATCAATTGATCATTATATACAACACGCTGCTGTGGTCAGCCAACTTATCAGGTAGTTTAACTGGGGAGTTGCTCCAGTGATTTGAGAGATCAGGGTTTGGGTCAATGTTCATTCTAATCATATCATCAACAATGCCATTCACACGATGGGCATAGCGGCCCCCAGTGATAGTCATATGATTGTTATAAACAAATGAGGTTGCTCTCCAACATTTCCTTGGCATTGATTGTAATGGCAACCATGTTCTTTGATGCCAGTTAAACATCTCAACAGAGTTAGTTCCTGTCCCTCCAGCAACAATTATATTTTTCTTATCACCACTTGGTCTATTTATTACTTTTCTTGTGTTTTTCATTATCTTTCCCTCCATTGTGATAAGAACGTCCTTCATTTCATTAAAGGCTTCGACCAAAGCAATTCTCAATCCCTTGACTTCATTGTTAACCACTTCCCGTTTTACTTCCATCTCCGCTTTTAGATCTGCGATATTTCTTTCAACATTCCTGGATTTCTCTCTAAATCTACGTTTTTAGTTTCAACTGTTATGTTATTCTTCTCTATTTTCGCTATTCTTTCCTCCACACCTGCCAAAGTTTTCGTTATTTCCTCGCACGAATGACACTTCAACTTTCGGAATTTACAGACTTCACTTTCGTGGTGAATTTGATCACGCTTGTTTACAATTAAACCACAGCCTTGGTTTGTACAAACGGCTGGTGTATATCCGCACGTTTCCTCGTGGCGGTCAAGATGCTGCAGTTGTACAACTTCTAGACAACCTCTGTCGATGTAAACGCAACGAATTTTCAATTCATTTATAAGATTCTTTACCATTCGTGGTGGTTCGGCCAAAGTCTCTACAGTCAGTTCATCAGCGCAAGTTGGACATGTTTTGAAATTTTCGAGATGTTTCGTAATACAAGAACGGCAAAAACAATGTTGGTTTATCAGACAAACGACCGGTTCTTTTAAGTCGTTGAAGCAAATCTGACAGAGGAAGTTTTGATTGACTTTGTTCTCGAACCTTTCTTCGTCGTAGCCTTGTATAAATGAAGCCATATTTCACGTCGTTTTTGTGTCGTAATAATAAAGCAATTTCTGTGCTTATATTTATCGCTCTGGAGTATATACCTCGTTCTATAGACTCAATATCGATGCAGTGTTCGTTCTTGGTGAAACCTGTGGCTTTATTTACTTGCAAAATCTTCACAAAAATGGTCGGTTTATGAGGGCAAATCGTACATATGACAAAATCGCTTCCGCAAACCGAAAAATTTTTCGGAAACAAAGACAGTCGTGAAGGTGAACAGAAATCACCTGTTTGCCTGCTGCATTACGTTGCAGTGTTAAACTTTTCAAAACAGCACAAATAATTATAATAACCATACAAGCACTAAACGTCGAATGTGGTTTTTCGATTATTAATTTATTTTATTCAAAGATTTTAGCGACTATATAAGCTGCAAAGTGATATCTGTTTTATCAAAACTCTTTTTAAAGTTTAAGCGATGATGTAAAGCCATAAACGGTCGGTTAGCTCCTTGTAAAACGACATACCAAGCACCTAGCACGTTTCTAACCCGCTAGCAGGTTTTGGAACGACGTGCTCGCATGTGTGATTTGTGGTAATGAACGGAAATTGTGTGACGCGAATTCGTGGTGAGATCGGTGATGATGATGAAGTCCAAATATGCATGAGCATGCTGTTTATCCGTATGTAGTGGGCTGTTGGTTTGCTATTGGGAGCTAATCCCTGAATCGATTGTTTCCTACTCTCTGAATTGATTGGTTCCATAAAACATCCCCAATGTGTGGTGATTTTGTAAGAAAGGGTGGTATTCAATCCAACGTGTATTACCGTTAGTGAAATTATAAAGCGCGGCATGGGAGCATGCCGGGGAAAATGATCATCATTGCCACATTGCCAATCATCTCATCTTCAAAAGGCACCCTCCAACACCCCTGCAATGAGGGCATAGCCATCTCCACAGAATCTGAATACCTGCAGCCACATATAAAATAAAAATATTCAGTAAAAACCGTGTTTTTACGTGGACTCCGTGTTTTTACGTGGTCTCCGTGTTTTTACCACTCCGTGTTTTAAAGTTTTGGACACAATTATAAAATCGTAAAATACATGCCAGCTTCTTCATTTTATCTTTTACTAGTTTTTTACCCACGGGTCATAACCATTGGTAGATATTTTCTCCGCCGGACTTCCGCGATTCTGGGACCGGTTGTTTGAAAAATAGATAAAGTTATCTCCTGGATAGTGTTTTTGAAATGTAGAAAAATTCTGAACCTTTTAGCATGACCAACTGATTGAACTTTACAAATTTATAGTGAAAATAGTTTCGGTGGTAACGAAGGTAACTCTGGGATGTTCTGATGAATCGAAACAGAGCGACACCTATAATCGATATAATTATAACCCTTAGGAAGTTCTTCGAGCGTGAATAAGGTGAGTGCTCCTCCGCAGTAAGAACGCATATCAGTAATATTTATAGATCAGTGGCTAGTGAAATGTTGCATCCTGTGCGCCATTTCGACAAGACTATTTTAATTTAATTACTTGCATGTTTGCATAACACCAAAGAGATTGGGGACGAGACAGGAAAACAGTTACAATTTTGCTGTGGTTTTTCCAATTTGATAACTGATAAAAAATTGATTCACCATCTGTAGCCTTTCTACTTCTGTCACATGAATCCTGTGCCCCGCAGTATACTTTTGTTTGGATTTCAGCCACTATTGAGGCGAGCCGATCCACAAATTCAGCCAACGAGCGAACAGTCCCGTTGTTCATCATTAATTAAGTTCAATTCTAAGGTTTTTAATGCTTTCTGCACTGTCAGATTCAGTGGCGTAGCCAGCCTGACGATATTTTCCCGCTATGTAAACTTCAAGTTATTATAACTATTCGTGCCTTTAGAAATCTATTGTTTTCACAGTCACTGAACACCAAAATATTAGCATAGCGGGACAAATTGACAGGCTGGCTACGCTACTGGTCAGATTGAACTCTTGACTGCGTTTGCTTCGCCACTGAATATAGAACCCTCATGCAGCATAACCTCGCCGGTTTATAGATCGATTGTCATAAACAGAATTCTCAGTGATAGTAGCCCTGTCTACGCTAGCATTCACGCTTGCCATGTCACCGCAAGAACACTTACATTTAATCAGCCGAGTACGAATTTCTTTCGCATTCTTTCCATCAACTACCTTCCGCCTCAAAAAGTATATTTTCATTTGCTGGCGATGACCACTTTCCTTGTCGGATAAGACCATCCCTTACGAATTCTTTCAAGCTGTCATAATCCCCAATGCACTCATAACATTGCACATAGAATAGACATGTTATGCCATAACGTTATTGGTGTCATTAATGTTATTAATGTTATTGGTGTTATTGGTGTTATAGGCGTTATAGGTGTCATTGGTGTTATAGGCGTCATTGGTGTTATTGGTGCCATTAGTGTTACTGGTGTTATTGGTGTCATTGGTGTCACAGGCGTTATGGGTGTTATGGGTGTTATGGGTGTCATAGTCGTTGTTGGTGTTATGAGCGTTATAGGCGTTATTAGTGTCATTGGAGTTATAGGCGTTATTGGTGTCATTAGTGTTATGGGCGGGTTGTTCAAAAGCCGGCTAACGCTATCCCAGGGCTAAAATGGCCTAACCCAGGGATAAATTTTATCCCTAGGTTAATTTGCGTTGTTCAAAAGTGGGCTAGCGCTAACCCAGGGACAAACGATGGGCTAAATTTAACCCAACTCAAACAGTGGGTTAACTTTAGCCCAACACTTTTAAAATAAAAAAAAACAAAAATAAACAACATGGATGGCCTTCCGTTCAATTTATTCCGTGTTGTTTATCCACGTCAAGAACGAACATATCGTCCACGCAATCTAAACGTGATTGGCTTTAATGACAGCCAGTTAAGAGCAAGATATAGGTTCGGCCGAAATGCCATAAACTACATAACAAATCTGCTTTACGATGACCTTGTCAGGGATACACAACGCGGCCATGCTCTTTCTCCGGATTCACAAGTACTCATCGCACTGAGGTTTTACGCAACAGGCAGCTTCTTACAAGTTGTTGGAGATACGTTTGGTGTTGATAAGGGTACAGTGTCCCGTGTCGTAAGAGATGTGTCCTTGGCACTTAACAGGAGACAGCAAGAGTTTATTAAATGGCCAACAAACGTAGAAATCGCAGACATCAAAAATAATTTTTTTGCACTAGCTGGCTTTCCGTGCGTAATTGGGTGTATCGATTGTACCCACATCCGAATTCAGGCTCCGTACGTGCACGAGAACAATTATGTAAACAGGAAGCGGTATCACTCGATCAATGTACAAGGAATTTGCGATCATGAAGGTAACATTATATTCATATTTTCCTGTACACACTGATGGAAATGCTGTTAACTTCAGATTTTGTTCATGACCAATTTTGGGGATGTGGTACTTTACTGAGGTCTCCCCACCCTAATACAGATTTTGTTTTGTAAATTGCATTACTAGCATGGATATGTATTTGAACTGTTCTCTTGGCTTAGTGTTTCTACAGGGAGTGGTTATGGGTTGGTGGATTTTCTAAATATTTTAAAAACGTTTTAGGAAAATTCATCAATATTGTGGCACGATGGCCAGGAAGTACACACGATAGCCATATACTGCATACATCAAACATATGCACTCACCTGGAGAACCACCACCATGATCTAGATGATGGTGTTCTGCTTGGTGACAGTGGTTACCCTTTAAAGGCATTTTTAATGACCCCATACAGCACCCCAAACACACCAAATGAGAGGGCATTCAACCGAGCACACAAGAAAACAAGGGTGACGATTGAAAGAACATTTGGAATGCTAAAACGGAGATTCCATCTACTGCATGGGGAGGTGAGAATGCAACCGGAAAAGGTGTGCCAGCTCATTGGTGCATGTGCAATATTACACAATATTGCACTTGCATTCAATGAGCCCAGGTTAGATATTGAGGATGAGGACGACCAACCAGAGGTGGAGGAATATGTTGGACCCCAAAATGGTCATCTAATCAGGGAACATATAACTAACACCTTTTTTTAACTTTTTATAAAGTAGAATTAACTGAGCCTATAATGCAAGAATTGTTACCAAAATAAGCAAGTTTGTAAAATAATAATATAATTCAATTATCACAAAAATGTATAATTATTAATTACTAATTCATTAAATTATTTGTATATACAGTACAATAGAAAATTGTTCATTGAAATTTACACTACAGGGTGAGCAAAAAAAACCTGACACCTTTGAAATTCAAATTAGCTGCAATGTATCTGCAATCGGCTGTAATATATTACAGAAGTTGCCTAAGATATCTCATGGGTATACGAAACATATCAAATAAGTGAACCCATTTATTAACCTTGAACATAAAGTTTGTTCCCTTTGGTAGTTAAATTTATTTTAAGCTCTGTAATAAAAAAGAGTGTTGAATTATAGTTCAATTGGTTTAAACACTTTAAACAATGGGAATTGTCAAATTCCAGCCATAAGTTTGCAGCTAATTTGAATTTCAAAAGTGTCATTTTTTTTTTACTCACCCTGTATGGTATCCAAAATGTTGTGTGCTTATAATACATGCACTGAAGATCAGATTATAATAAGTTCAAACATTAAAACAAAATAAATTGACAATAAATATTTTGAATAAAGAACTACATATTGGGAAGTGATTTCTATGATTCCTATATTTTTCATTGTTTAATAAAGTTGATAATTTATAATATATGGCCAGTTACTGCTGGGCAAAGTGAAAACCATTGACATATTATATGTGAATGTGGCAGGCTGGTAGCTGATGCATTAAAACTAATATTCAAACAAATATCTGAAGTAGAAAAGAAAAGAAATAGGGGGAACTGTGACTGAGCCTGAGGGATTATTGTGCAAAATTTAACCTTTCATGTTCTGGATTTGGATTTGAAGTTTTTGCTTTTTCAAAGCCAATACCTCTTTTTGCAGAGTAAGTACCTCTACTTGCAACTGCAATACATCTTGGTTTGTTGTCCTCTTTCGGTTATCACTCTTTTTCGGGCCAGGTAGGGCTGGCAACATACGAGATGGTACCGGCAACGAGGGAGGGATGTTCATATTTGTCGGCTCTTCATCCTTTTCATCTTCAGCCAACAATACCGAAGGAGGTATCGGGGAAGGATCTTCGATCAGTTCGATGTCATTGATGCTAGAGTGTGACGATGGCGATGCGAAAGCGGAATTGCTCAGAGCGGTCACCGTTTCATATGCATTATCTGCAGCTAAAAACAAAAATATATATAAATGTAAACGACTGCATGGAGATGTAAAATACTGAATGTCATTTTACTCTTGTACAGCTCAAAATACTTATCTTTGTCCTTGTTGCTCATCAACTTTTGTATGTCAACGGTAGTCAACAAAATGAACAAACGAAAGACGATTTAATCAACAAAATAAACATTTTCATTGCAATATAAGACTCTTATATATTTTACAGTAAACGTTTTGACTTTTGATTTAAAAATATTTATATAAACGACTGGGAACTAATAACGTCGTGCCCAAACCTGCCCGAAACACATTACGCAATTTATTTCATATTATTTCATACCTGTCTCAAACCCATCTAGTCCCGTGAACAGAGGCGTGTTTTCAAACAATTTGATTACTCTCTCTTCTACCGGAGATGCTTCTTTTGGCGGAGGGCCACCACCTGTACCCTGTTGTTGTTTCTTTATGAGGGCAAAAGATTTTTTAGCGCCGCTCGTCAGCTTTTTCCACTTCTCTTTTACCTCGTTTACCGTCCTATTTGCCACTCCCGCCGCATTTATATCGCGTGTGATCGCGTCCCAAACCGCATTTTTGCGTTTATTTGTAATTGCATTGGTTAATTTGGACTGTATAACTTCTAGGTTATCCTCTACTTTGTTCAACAATATATTTACTTCAGAAAGTGTAAAGTTTAACTTTCTTTTTTTTCTTTGTTTGTCCTGTAAAACGTCAGCCATTTTGAAAAAAAATTTTCGCGCGCTTTTTTAACCCAGGGCTAAGTCTGTTAACCCTGGGTTAACTAACCCTTGCGCTGTCCTTGCTTTGAACAACGCAGTTTTAACCCTAGGTTAGTTAACCTAGGGTTAAGCATTTTAACCCAGAGTTAGCACTAACCCAGGGTTAAATTTCGCCCGCTTTTGAACAACCGGCCCATGGACGTTACTGGTGTCATTGGTGTTAAGCCGGTTTTCACCTAGCGATATTTTTCGCGCGAATCGACATTTTACTTTTGTTCCAAAGCTCTCAACTGCACCTTTCTGGAACAAATTGCTCAAATACTAAGTAATAAAGTCGCTTCGCGCGAATAATATGGCTAGTGGAAAACCGGCTTTATAGGCGTTATAGGCGTTATAGGTGTTATTGGTGTTATAGGCGTTATAGGTATTATTGGTGTTATTGGTGTCATTTGTGTTATTGGTGTTATGGGTGTTGTTGTCGGTAAATATGACTGCGAACAGTGTTGATGAAAGCTTAAAAGCGATCAACCTACATATGTTTACGGTGATTGACCGGTCAACCCAGTGCCAATTGTTTCTGGACGCTTTTCTTTTGTCGTTGATCGATCGAAGTTCGTCGTTCATGCACCCTACCTCCACCACTATTTCAGAGCAAGCTAACACAACCATGTAGCTATCACTGGCAGAGAGCTTTGAACCACCAAAATGTCCTGGCAAAGATGATCAGCAGACCATTTTGAAGTCTGTAGGCCATTATAACAAGTAGCATGACTACAGAGATATGTGGAAAAGAATCGCCAGTCAAGAATTGCCAGTCAGTCGGGACAGTTCAGCTATCCCGTTTCCCAAGTTCATGTGTTATATAGTTTGAGCCGAAAAGGTATAAACGAGTGCATGTAATCATGAATAGCATTGTGAATGTTTCAAATTGTAAAATATGATTATAGAATTGTAAATAGTTTTACATTATGAATAAATTTCAACAAGTTTTCTTTTGAAATGTGAATTTATTCATAATAATAGTTCTGCCAGACCATCAGTACTTCTTTAACGCCGAAGAACTACGCTAGTATTTCGATTGCGACCCTTTTCTGTTCGCGAAAATTCCCCCGAAGAGGGTTAGCGTTTACAGGAATTAAGAAGTAAACCTGCCCCGAAAAACAACATCTTGTAAACACAAGAGATGAGTTAATATTATATTAAAAAGATAACATTTTTCGGCGATCGTTTCTCGCCATATTCAGTGGCGTAGCCAGCCTGACGAGCCGGAAATCTATTGTTTTCACAGTCAGTGAACACCAAAATATTGGCATAGCGGGACAAATCGTCAGGCTGGCTATACGCTACTGACCATATTGTTATCCCCATGTTGAATTTTGGTTTTGATTTTGTTACCGCTGCCCCCTATTCCGTTGTCTCGGTGTAGTTTTAACTTTGTTTGGCTCCATGCAACCTTTATATATAGTCATTAGTTATACATTAGTCAATGGTTCAGTTCCATGTATAAGTTCAGAGCTCGTCCTGAGGAAATTATGTGCAAACAATAAATATGGCGAATTTGTAAAAAATACACCTTCAGAAAAGATTATGTAATAATTTCTGAAGTTTTGCACTTGCATTTTTATTTTCCACACCTCTCCGGAAAAACATTTTACTATAAATTGATCAGATTTCGGTAAATGTTTGTGCATATTTTAATTCATAACACAACAATCTAATCGCGGGTTCTTCAGCATAATTAGGTTCATTACTTCATTCTCGAAAAAACATTCCCATTACCACGCGCTCTTTTTGTTAACATTGCAGAACGCTGACTCAGGATCTCGCTTGCTCACCAAAACTTGTGCGCGTAAAAGTATTAATTATCTACGTCAACAAAGGACCGCTCACTTGTCGAAATTTTTCGAGAGGTTCACATTTCGCGAAGTTCGTTCGTTGCAAATTGTTTTGAAAAGCGTTGTTATATTGTTGTTCAATATTCTATATTGAAATTATCGAGAAAATATGTAAGTATGTTTTAGGCTTCATTGTTTAGTGCACAAATAAGTGTGTTTTGCGTATTATTATGTGGCTTAATTTAAAAAATATAAAAAGAGAATCGTGTTCCTACAGTTCTGCTCGTATTTTGGGAAAAGGAGAATTTAGTTCGCTATCGAAAGCGACGAAGTAAATTGGTTTTGAGATTTGATTTATGAAATAGAAATCAAAACTATACTAAAAATACGGCGGCTTAGCGCAACGAACGTAAGTGCTCGCGCAAAAAAAACGCACGCGTAAATCCAAACGCACGCTCCACGACAATTCACGGCTTTGCAATGAGAATTTTTGTGTAACATCTTCACATTTAGGTGAATGAATGGCCTAGAGTTGATTTTTGTTTGTTTTTGTGGCCTCACACAAAAAACAGGTGTGTAGAATTACACACCAAGGTGTGTTTGACTACACACCAAGGTGTGCTCAATTGCACGCCATGGTGCAGTGGCGTAACAGCACAACTAGGGGCCCGTGGTAAAAATTTAAAAGGGGCCCCCTTACATAACCATACTAACATCTAAAACATTATTCTAAAACCTAAAATAATGAGTTTAAATATTAATTACTGTAATTATAATATCAGTTGTTAAAAAGAACGCATCAGTCGCGACATTAAAACGTTTCTTTAATTAAATAGAAATTACAGAAATAGAATTTCCAAATTAGCAGTTTTAGGTTGTCGCTATGTAACCAAAATGCAAAAAATTTGTTCAACAGTTTCTTAACGTAACAGTTAATTTATAAATAGGAAAAGGAACCTGAGCCCTGAAGACGAAAAGTGCATGTAATTAAACTACAAACTTTCCAATCCTTGCTTTTTTGTCTGCAAACGTGTCAATAAGCTTTTCAATGTCTAACAACCACGCTTCATTGTTCTCAATTGAAAGAATTGCCAGTGAGTCCAGGCGATCTTGTGCAATGCTTGAGCGAAGGTAATTCTTTATAAGTTTCAACTTTGAAAATGAGCGCTCTGCACTCGCAACTGTCACCGGAAGAGTGATGAATATGACAACCGCTAATAATAGCTTTGAGTAAGTACTGAGCCCCACATCTTTCAACAGGCATAGCACTTCTGAAACAGTCGACATGCCCTTCAGTACATCCCCGTAACACCAGCGAAAAGACTCGATTTCATTCACAAGATCAGATATGTAATCTGCCACTTCAACCCCATCTGTAAATATGTCTCCCTTGTATTCATTAACAAACAATTCGGCAGACTTGCGAACTTCTGTAATGTCAAGAGTTGCAAGGCTTCCAGGGAGTACAAATTTGAAGGTATCAGCAAGAAATTTCTGCTCCTGAAGCGTTCTTCTAATTGATTGGTAGCGGTGTCAATCACTTGGTAGAACATCTCTACAGTAAATCTTTCTTCAGGATCCTGTGGTCTACTCCTTAAGCCAGGGGGCCCGCGGGTTCGCACACCCTGAGCCCATAGTAGTTATGCCACTGCCATGGTGTGTAATTTCTGCACACCTTTCTACGCGCTTTTAGAAAGCACACCTTGGTGTGTAAGGAAACACACCTTTGTGTGTACGCAAACACACATTCGTGTGTTCGAAAACACACCTTTGTGTGTTAGCGAAAACACCTCCTTTTGCACACCTTTTCTTTTACTCATTAAGGTGTGTAAAGTAACACACCTTTTCACTGAAAACACACCTTTGTGTGTTTGACAGCACACCTTGACCCATCCAAGAAACACATCTTTTGATGTGTTATAAAACACACCTTTAAATTATTAACAATATGCTTGATTGGCCTTATTTATTACCTATAGTATTTTAGTGCGTCGATAAAAGCGTCAGCCTTACGAGGAATTACACAAGTCACAGGAAATTTGCTTTCTAAATGTTGTAAATATTAGATAGTTGATTTGACTTAAGTGTTCCAGAATGGTTTATGATTTTTAATACTATAGACTTGACTACTTATCCTGAAAGATAGCTATATATACATATTTAAATAAAACTTTCCCATTTTAAAGAAACTATAGGAAATGTGCCCAGACCCCAATTTTTCAAATTTTAACAGAAGGTTATAATTCATGTAATTATACCTGCCTATACCTGACAATACATCCTAAATTCTTTTACCAAAAATAAATCTTAACTCATAAATTGGGTATCATTTAGCATGTTCTATTAATTAACAGATGCTTGTGCACATCTTAAATTGGAAAATTCTAAATACCAGATCCTCTTATGCATTTATTTTATATTTTCAGGTGACCTTTGTTGATTATGAAGATCATGAATTAAGGCGATGATGTTATTGCAACAGTTGAGCAGGCACCATACACTCCAACAAACACGAACAAAGGTGACCAACAAGACAAGAAAACACCACCAAGTGTCAAGTCGAGACGACATCAAGTCAATAAACTGTTTATAGAGTAAGACATTATTTTAAACTAAACTGCATGCTTCAAGATATTTATATAATTCATTACTGTGACTTCATGTTAATTCTTAATAGTATTGGAACTTAAAATATATTTATAAATTAATATTGTGTTTGTGTGTTTTCTAGCCCTGTTTATATGTTACTTTTAGGAAAGGTGTGCAACTTTTTACTTAAACAATTTGTGTGTTCTCCAGCACAGCTTTAGCTGTGTAATGAAACACACCATGGTGTGTATGAAAACACACCTTCTTTGAAAACACACCTTAGAGCGTGTTAAAATTTGGACAAGCCAAAAACACATCTTTTGGTGTGTTTTTTGACACACCTTTTAGTGTGTTCTACACACCTTTTGTGTGCACAAAAACACACCTTGCAATGTGTTAACACACCTTTGAAGATGCTTTTTGCACACCTTATGGTGTGTTAAACACACCTTTAGGTGTGTTTCAAAACCCACCTTTAGGTGTGTTAAAATTTGGACAAAAAAGGTGTGTAAATTTAACACACCTTTTTTTAGTGCCTCACTCTCTTAACGATTAAGACTGCGCTTTGATTTTCAGTTTAACGTTTTAACATTACTCATGCAGTTTTTCTTTCCCGTCTGTCCAGGAATATTAATTTAAATGATTCTCGGATCTCCTATAAGGTGTGAATTAGATTTTTTTGTGGAATTTTCTGTGATTTAAAGAATTAATTGGAAATGGGAAATCAAAACAGTACTTTAATAAGCTTGTAAATGTTCTAATTTGCACAGGTGGAATCAGTATTTTGGTTTGAAGAAGAAACGTCGGAGAGATCTCTGAGGTATGATTTTTATTTACTTGGCGTATAGCTATAATATAAGGATGTTTTATTATATCAACACGTGTTTGTCTTCGTTTTCGGGGAAATAATATTCATGTTTGATGAGAAAAAATAATGATGATGATAAGATATATTAAATAACAAGTAATATTTTATTAAAGTATAAAAAATAATAAAAAGGTATTGCTTGCATCACGACAAACCATACAAGCGTTTCTTACCCATTTCGCTACACTAATCTGTCAACGCAAATAGTTTCATTTAGTTTTAATTTGTTCTAGTGTCAGTAAGAAAAAAAATATAGCAAACTTTCTGATGCCTCTGAGAAGTGGCCTTCCGCAGAAATCGAAGTTTATGCTTTATGATGCCGGTTCAATGTTTTTTCTTTTGAGCTACACGACTAGCTCATAGGAGTGGTAATGTCGGCATCGATCGCAAAGGCATAGATTTGAATTCTAACAGTGCAACGATAGACGACAACGTTTTTCTGAAATATTCCTTGCTTAAATTTGGGATGCCTGAGTAAAACCTAACATATTACGTAATATAAAATGTATATAAACGTAATTGATTTACCTTCTAGATATATAAACTTTTTTTATTTGGTGAGGTTACAGACTTTTACCATTTCAAGTCCCCTACATCAATACACAATATTATTTTTAGTGCTGGTTTATTTGATCATGCAAACGCGTCTCAAATCTCGGAGTATTCTGAGGTAAAGAATATTTATTATCAATTGAAAAATAAGTTCGCTTTTTTATCATGCACGTATTGATTTTTTAAACAGTTGGGCAATTTTAGGTTGTATTCTAAATTGTAAAATCCGTGAATGAATATCCTAGCTTGTAGTATTGTTATGAGATCTTAATATGACACATGTTATTATTTGTGACCTTCCACGGGAAAACGTACGTTAACGATATTTCGTTGAAACGGCAAAACGAACGGATAACGAACGGGTAGTGAACGATCTGTAATAACGTTTCAACGAACCCAGAAAACGTTTTGACGAATTCAGCTAAAAATGTGAACGTTTAAAGTCGAGAATACGAACGGATAAATAAACGTTCAATCAGAAGCCGTTTGAACGATTTATGTTTATGAACGGTTTTAACGAATTAGTCTGAACGCCTGTTGCGCGTATGATTGACGCAAGATATTATTGACTAATTAAAAGAATAGGAAATATTTTCAAACACGTAACATGTGTTGGCGCAAATATGCGCGTGTACATAAATAGCTATACCTTCATTTCAATGCTTAACTAAGATTATTTATAGCTATACTACCTAAATCACAATATTATATACTTTATATACATATATACATTTGCATTTGCATCAAAATTCGGGTTAATCGTTAGAAAGCCTTCAGTTATTAGTACAAATTATCATCCTTATGTCAAATTAATCAATGCATCATCTGCAACTATACCCATTAAGATATTCAGCGCGTGTTCATTTGCAACAACGTTACAGATTTTGTAAATCTCTCCACAGACAAACTATATGTATGAGTGGTTAAAGACATATAAACACATACAGCATGCATCCGTTTTATTAACACGGCTCTAAACCGAGAGTAAACGAAGATTGCCATAAATGGCCTGGCTTCGATAATAATATCATAGGCAATGTCATCGGTCATGCACCGTCTCAGTTTGGTTGAGTTTGAGCTACTGGATACATATTTTATGTTAAACTAAACACAAGAGATTCCACTGTACACTTTTGCTTATACTCTTTGACGCGCAAACGATTAAATTAATTAGCGCAAGGATCAAGTTGTTTACAGATGATAACCAGACATTAATACAGAATATCACATAGGCAAAGTTCGTTTGTATGCGAACCAGCGTAGTAACGTGTGCTTGCATGCTGTCAAAACTTATTTGGTATAAATACTACATTAAATATCCAAACCATTTATACACGTGAAAATCCACATTTCAATTTCAGCAATGCATTGCGCGGTACTAAAATATTTAAAATATAAGCTTGGATATTTACCTAGTGCACACCGAATATGTCCCGTGCAGCAACACCAGTAGCCTCTACCTGCAGTCAAGCTTGTCGCGGAATGTCGCCTATACACAGTAATGTCAGTAACGACTATAAGGGCATCATTATACGTTAAGAATATTTTAAAGTTTGATAATAATCTATTTTATTGACTGCGTGCACCATCGCCATATTTTCTTCGCAAAGCTAAAGCTGCAATGTTGCTATTTCTGCCGCCATATTTTTTCATATAAGTGATATGTTTTGTGACCATACGATCACATATGCATGTGTTATGACTTATGAGCCAGTATATCGCTAATTAATACTTGTGATATTAAATTAGCTAACTAAATTCTTGGTGGTCAATATATTCATCAGGAAATATTTTATTTCCCCCCATATATTCGACCATCTACATAGTTAACTGTGTAAAAATACCTAAGCTACCTGCATGAGCCTAACAATAGTGACCTAAAGAAATAGAACGCGTAAATTAATGGGATAATTTTCGAAATCTTCATTTCAAACGATCGCCGGCAATCCGCAATCCCGAAGGTCCGAATATCCGCCCTGCAAAGCAACTTAATACTCAACCCCGGCAGCAAGAAAAGAGTGCACAGTATTTTCACTAAAGCATATAGCAATAGCAGACGGCCCATATAGAAACCGGGTTTTTAAATCACAAAGAGTGCAAATAATTTTCTGCAAAGCATATAGCAATGCTGCCGCCCATATAGAAACGACGATGCCAAATGCATGCACAGGGGAGTTTATACTCACCATTTTAAGAAACATCGATCCTCAACATCTTCGAGACATCTACTTGTGACACAATTTGTGCCTCCTGCTTACAGTAAAATTAACTAATCAAGATTTCCCCGGACAGATTATTAAAATAAGACATGCATGAAAGCATCATGATCAATCCATTTTGTCTGGCGAAATCTTTAGTTATATCATATAATTATATATATTTCGAGGTAGCATCTACCCACATATTTTTTGAAAAATGTCAGCAAAGTTTGTAAACAATTGTTGTTTTAATGTGAGTAAATGCATCCTATTAAATTGTAACCACCAAGCTTAACAACTACTCTAACCTCAGCCAAGCCATTTTGAAGGTCTGGCAACCTTTCATGTCATGTTTATTCGGAATGATTGGATGATCGTGGCCAAACTCGATTCCCCCGGCCAAGACAAGTAATCTAAAGGGTTATATTGCAGTGTGCATTTATATCCGACTCCATTTTACTCGCGTTAGCATATATACATAAAATGCAATTGAGAACGCCTTGTTATATACAATTGCATGATCATCTATATGAAATCTTACTTCGAATGCGTGTCATATTTCGATATATGCATGGATCAATAGAGAGCTACAGTTTAGCCAAGCAAACACACTCAAGGAAAAAAAACTTTAAATCGAGCCAACCGTAATACGAATTCTGTTGATGATTTCATCGATAAGCCGGATTTCAATGCTGGGAGGAAATAATTGCAAGCGCGCCTAATAAAGTATGCCCAGTCATGAATAGCCTTATATTATAGCTAATGTTTCGTATAGTGTTCATACTTCATACCTTTATATGCACGTGTTAAAACGCCTTGACTTCCCGATAGATGTTAATATCCAGCAAATATTTGATTTAGTCTTCGCGAAATTACTGTTCAAGATCTTTACCCGCGCGCTCATATACGCATAAACAGTTCATAGGCGCCATTTCAAATTTGTTCATTTTGCCGCTCTAGCTGGCAGGCTTCAGCCTTCAAGGTGCAATGACCATGCATGATTGCAATTTAATATCCGGGATGTACTTTCCTAATAAAAGAGCCCAAATCAGAATTAGTGAATATTTTCCTGTTCCCAAGCAGCTGATATGTTGTCCAAGCAAGATAAATTCTAATGTTCGTTTTCTGATGAAATATAGCGAAATATATATAAGCGAAATGTCCGAGAGGTCAAACTTAAATGTTTGTACGCGTTAACTTGGCAACTTGCCCTTGGGTTTGCACGCACTTGGTTAAAACATAGCGCTAAACTCAATCTCACAAAACACGGAATTTGTAGACGGCGTCTTTGATGGTTTATGCTAGTTTAATATCAAAAAACTTAAATGGTATAATATAGATTACAATTTCTGGTTTGTTTATATTTGTCACACGGGCCACGGCTCTAATTATGTTGACCAGATGATATTTTGTGCATTAACAAAGCCTATATGCTAAATTTCCCTGAGCAATATTATGATGTTCATTGTGCGACACTGGTGTTTTTTTATTATAATAAACAATGTCAAACAATGAACATCATTCATAAAGGTTCATTACTTTCATAAAGTCTCTATCATTTGTACGATTTGAGCTTTTTCCGCGTTCCACGTTTCCGATTCGAGGAGCTAATCAAGAGAAATCAAATTACAACCAAAATATACATGTGAAGTGAATTGTGCTGAAATGTCCATATATATCAATATATATAAAGCAATTTTTTGTGAATTAAGAATCTAAATAAATATTTACAATGCATATATGAGTTATATTTATGCCAGATCAAGTCTCTTTTTATAAAACTTATTTGCCCGGCATTTATTGTTTATGGCTGTCTTCACCGCTTTCCAAACAAGTTCCTCGTCGTATTTACTCTTCATGATAAAGCGCATGAATAACAATACTGTAAAAGAAAAACAAGATTTTTATCGATATGAGAACGTGTAATTCAAATTATTAACAGTAGGTATAGTATCGATATATAGAGTCCTGCCGTTGCTGGATTTTGAATGGTTCGCAAGAGGGTTTTAATATTTGTCATTTGAGTATACATTAGTCATTTACATTTAATTCGACAACACACCTTTCAATGAATTCAATTTAACTGGATCGAGTGGTGGTTTACCATGCGTCCCATCAGTGTTGGATTCACTTAGCTCACGGTCGGAGAAAAAAAAAGGTAGCAATTTCAATGCACACTTTCGTGGCTCTGGGATCTTTTCTAACGCCTCGCTAATTTTTTTGATATTCTTGCTCGGTGTGACAAATTTTCGTATAATATCATCAGACAATACTTGACTTGTGCTTGGTGCATCTGACTTTGGTGAAAGTTGCGAACTGTTTGTGGCTTTATCTTGATCGCCCTCGACCGGATGAACATCGGCGTCATCGATCAAGCGCTTCAAAACATCTATGTCTATCGTTGATAGCTGAAATTGCTCATGATCGCCTGATGAATTCACGGTCGATGACGTGTCTTCGAGAAACGATGTCGAGGAATTATTAAATGGGCTACTGAATTCCTATATAAATATATAGATATTTGTGTGAGGTCTAAATATCTCGTTCAAATTTCATTGCGGTAGGCCATCATTGCAATGTAGCATACCAGTTTAATAGTTATCTAGATTTACTTCATTGTTTACCCAACTATATAAGAGTTTTAATTATTGCATACTAAATATAAAGTATACAGTAAAAGATATTTGGCACGAGTTCTCGAGTAAAATCTTGCCGCGTATACTACGCGCGATATTTGGTACGGCACGGATAAAACTGGCACCCATACCATTTTATCCGTGCTTGGACTATACCTATAGTGTATAGTCCATGCAAGAACTTGTAAACGTGGCACGGCCGGAACTTTTATCCGTGCCATATCGCGCGTAGTGTAAACGGGGCTTTAATTTCCTGCCGAACACTGATCATGATGCAACTAACCTTTTCAGTTGAATGAGCAGAAGGTTCCAAAAGCTCAGGCCTCTCAAAACGCTGATTTGTCCCGGGCAGAAAACTTTGCAACGAAATGCGCATTTCTTCTATTGTCTAAAACAAAGTTAAGATTAAGATTTGATCCATATCGTCTAATTGAGCTATATATATTGCTCTGAGTTATAAAAAATGGCACTTACATTCTCCGAAGATTTGGCGAGTTTTTCCAATGACTCCAGACGTTTATCTATCCTCAGAAAATTTTCTTTTAAAATGCATTTTATTTCCTCAATCTCAATCATCTGAAAAGATAGAAATGATTGATAATGATTTTGGTAACATTAATCGTCTATATAATACTTTCATTTTATGTCTGCTATGTCTTTTATCCTAATCTGCATAAAATTTTGTTAAATTAATACACGCTTGTTTAATACGCATGCATTCATGTAAATTATATTCGAATGCATGCATGAGACTTGAATATGAAAGAACAATCTATACGTTTGTGGATAAACAGAATTTTGGTAATGTTCTGTTTTGGGCATGCGTGCATTAATATACTTAACATATAATGCATATACCTTTGTCTGGTCAACAGCAACGACTGCCGCATTGTTATGAAACTCGTCAACATGCGTTGTTAAAGCCTCAGATTCCTTTGCCAGTTTTTTTGTAATTTTGCCCTCCTTTCCTCACGCGTTACTTCCCATCCTCTTTCTCTCTTTCTTTGTTCAGCCACAAACTGTTCGTAGTGATCATTATTTTCACCACCATGACTATGAACATCTATCGCATCAACAACTGACACAAAAATAGAAAAAGGGCATATGATATCACATATAAATACAACTCTTGAAATTTATTGAATGAGATCAAGCAAGTATCATATCCCGCCTTCATTACTAATGCCGATATTTCCTATTTGGATAATTTCTGCGTTATACCAACGTGCGCCATATTTGACCTTTACCGAATCTCCTGGTTTTAACAGCGCACATGCCTTCGCGTCCTTTCCACATATCGGTCGTACATCCTTTCTTTTAACAACATAATCAGTATCTCTCCACTTGCAGTTTGTTTTCCAAATTATCGTTATATCTTCGCTTTGCGCCATCGTCATAAGAATGCAATGATACGGTATAATACAATATATTATATTATGTAACAAGTCAAATCGTTTTATCTTCACTGAACAGCGACTATATATATATATGATGTGTGAAGAAAGGAAACAAGCAATGACATTCATTTGTCATTGCATGTAATAAAAACTGTCACAATATATTGTGGAGAATATGTACAAATTTAAGTGCAAGTCTGATGTTCTATTACACTTTGCAGATATATTTTGTCGACTGAAACCCAGGTGCAATAGAATTTATAGTACTGGTGATTAAAAATGTGTGGGCATATATGAATTGTATTAATTGCTAGCATAAAATTCAACGAACATTCGATTAGTTATGAATCGATCAATCATTTAAATTGTGAAAAAGGGAAACAATTACATTTATTTGTCATTACATGTAATATAAACTATCACAATATAGTGTGCAGAAAATGTACAAATTTAACTGCAAGTCTGATGTTCTATTACAAGTTGCAGATATGCTTCGTCAACTGTGTGCGCATATATGAATTATATTAATTGCTAGCATAAAATTCAACTAACATATTCGATTGTCATGCATCGATCAATCATTTAAGTTGTGAAAAAGGGAAACAATTAAGGTTATTTGTCATTGCATGTACTATAAACTGTCACAATATATTGTGCAGAAAATGTACAAATTTAACTGCAAGTCTGATGTTCTATTACAAGTTGCAGATATGCTTCGTCAACTGAAACCCAGGTGCAACAGAATTTATGGTACTAATGATTAAAAATGTGTGCGCATATATGAATTATATTAATTGCTAGCATAAAATTCAACTAACATTCGATTAGTTGTGAATCGATCAATCATTTAAATGTGAAAAAGGGAAACAATGACATTTATTTGTCATTGCATGTACTATAAACTGTCACAATATATTGTGCAGAAAATGTACAAATTTAACTGCAAGTCTGATGTTCTATTACAAGTTGCAGATATGCTTCGTCAACTGAAACCCAGGTGCAACAGAATTTATGGTACTAATGTTTAAAAATGTGTGCGCATATATGAATTATATTAATTGCTAGCATAAAATTCAACTAACATATTCGATTAGTCATGCATCGATCAATCATTTAAGTTGTGAAAAAGGGAAACAATTAAGGTTATTTGTCATTGCATGTAATAAAAATTAAAACTGTCACAATATATTGTGCAGAAAATGTAGGTCTATACTAAAACTACAAGTTTGATGTTCCGTTTATAGGTCTTCTTCATCTAAAATTTTCCTATGTGTAGCGCAATTGCGCGAGAAATTGTCAATTGTCATAGTGGTTCACTACGCAAGTTACTCCAATTTACATCTTGATCAAAGTTACATCAGTCTTGATCAAAGTTACATCTTGATCAAAGGTCATCCTCTCCATGGGAGGCTCTTAGTTTATAAGTCAATTTTTTTATCACTAGTTTCAAATAGCTATGAGCGAGGGACAAGAAACTGAAAACCAGGAGAGTTTAGAAGAAAGCGTACAATCATTTCTCGAAGTTGGCTGCGGTTGCACCGGTGGTCAAACTGGAAATCCTTGTTCCAAATCTTTTTCAAAAGAAACATTGCTTTCCAACCTTAATAATTGCTTGGAATTGAGTAGAGAAGAACTTGACTTAGTAATTTTGGCAAACATACAAGCCTCGACACACGAGTATACTGAAAAAGTTGGTGAAAAACGAATTAGAAGCCCCGATGCTGTTTTACGTATAAATCGATACCGATATGCAAGAAAATGTTCCTGCGGTTCTATGGCATAAGCGATACTCGTTTTCGTTCACTCAAAGAACACTATGATACCTTCGGCATTTACCCTAGAACCCATGGAAACAAGAAGAGATTGCCAAGTAACACAATATCCTATTCGACTATATCAGATATAAAGACATTTATTTCGAATTATGCCGAGGAAAATGGGGTATTGTTGCCCGGTAGAATACCTGGCTACAAAAATGACGACATCAAACTGCTACCATCCTGTGAAAGCAAAATTAGCGTATGGAGATGTTATAAGGAAAGCTGCGAAATTACAGGGAAGGCTTCGGTATCTTATTCGAAATTTGCCGACCTTTGGAAAGAGACCCTGCCTGACATCATTGTGGCCAAACCCATGACAGATTTGTGCGCAGTTTGTCAAGAGAACACTACAAAGCTCAGAGATCAATTAATTTATCTGAAGAGGAAAAATCAGCTTGTGTCAAACTGCACCAAGAACATCTGGATAGAGCTAAAGCAGAGCGAGAATGTTATCGAAAATCCTGCAACGAAGCAGAAGAAAGTTTGACGTCGTTTGATCAAAACTTTGACTTTACCGAGTCTCGATATCCATGCTCTCTTAGAACGAAAATGCACTATTCGTTTGACTATGCTCAGCAAGTCCACATACCGAGTAATCCGATGCAACCTGGCCCCATCTATTTCAAGACACCTAGAAAATGCGGGATTTTCGGTGTAACATGTGAAGCTGTTCCCCGCCAAATAAATTTTTTAATATACGAGGCTGTGTCAGTTGGAAAAGGAGCCAATCCAACCATTAGCTACCTACATTATTTCTTGGAGCATCACGGCTTTGGAGAGACTGATGTACATTTTCACGCGGACAATTGTGGTGGGCAAAATAAAAAATTTCTTTTTGTGGTACTTTGCCTGGAGAGTTATAAACAAGCTCCACAGCACAATTATCTATTCGTTTCTCCTTGCTGGTCACACAAAGTTCAGTCCCGATCGTGGTTTCGGCTTGTTGAAAAAAGCATTTAGAAATTCTTATGTGTCCTCAATATACGAGTTTGGTTCACTGGTTGATCTGTCAAGCTCAATTGGACTAAATAAAGCCCAGCTTGTGGGAAGCCACGATGGCAAAGTTATCGTCCCGGTTTATGACTGGTCGACATTTTTGGGTAAGTACTTCAAAAAGATCCCAAACATTACAACGTATCACCATTTCCGTTTTGCTTTTGACCAACCGGGAATTGTTGCTTACAAGAGTTTGTGAATTCAGTTGAGAAGAAATTCAATTTATTAAAAGATGCTACCCAATTGCCACCTTTCAACATGCCAGCAACGATCGAGCCAGATGGCTTAGATCTGGGGAGACAAAGATACCTTTTTAAGGAAATAAGACAATTTTGTAAGCAGGGCACTGAAGATCTTGTTGCTCCGGCTCCCGTTTTAGACTAGATGCACGTACATATTTAAATTGCTATGATATTCATGCAGTGGCGTAACGAACGGAAGATGGGGTCTTGAGGTATACTTGGTACTGCGGGGTCCCTTAATTCCCTGTCTGTCATAAATCACGTTTTGCTTAACTATGATGTTTCGTTATCTATCCTTGCCCCCAATAAATGGGGATCCCTTAGTTCTCGTCGTAACCCTACCGAACGCGCGTTAGGTCACTGTATTTATGTCTTCAAATATTAGCTAGGGTATTCAATTGTTGTATAATTTGTAGCTATGTCAGACTGCATTAAAGACAACGAATTTCAAGCTGAAATGTCCGTCCTAGGATGCCGGTCCTCAATTTTGAATAGATTTTAATCAGTACGGAGGCCCAATTATAGTTTATCAGATGTAAATAAATTAGCTGAATACACATGGTTCAAAAGTACGATATATTAATATGTAACACGCAAAATCCCTCAATTCATTTAAAATCTGTTTTTGTCTGTTTACATACATTTAGAGACTTCCGACAATTATGCAACTTAATTAGCACCTTGCTAAGGCATATTATGGCTCGTAATGCTGTAATATATATGGCTTGCGACGTTGTTTGTGCGCGCGGTGAAATTTGGCTTATGGAAGCTACAGAAGTATAGTAAAGCAGAAATTCTAACCATTTAGTGCATTACCGAAATTCAAAAAACGATAAATTTTTGAAAGAAAGCTTACGACGTGAAATTTGCCGCTAATGAAATAATTGCATGCACTGAATATTAATCCTTCATGTCTGCATGACGCTAAGCATAAACAATAACACGAAGCGCACAAAATAGCATTCGATTGGGCTAAAATGATATAACCCCACTATTTCCTTTACAAGCCTTCTACTAAGGAACTGGATACGTTTCTGGGAGTATTTCTGTGTAGCACATTCTGCGCTTTTTCTGCAAAGTTGTAACATTGCAAATGTTTAATCTAATATGTTGAACCAAATCCAATGCGATTGAACGAAATTCCGGCAAACGTTTCAACGAACGGTAAGTCAAACGGTTGAACGCTTTTGGACCAATTTTCAAACGTTTTTTGCCAAGCGTTCGAACGGGCAATTTCGAACGATGAACGATCTCAAAAATCGTTTCAACGAACGCTTGAAGCGTTTGAACGGCAAACGAACGGATAACGAACGATATTTTTGAACGAACGAAATAGCGTTAACGTACGTTTTCCCGTGGAAGGTCACATTTCAAAGGCGCGACTTTGCTGTTTAAGTTTGAGAAGTCAGTTTCAACCCTCTACTTAATTCGGAGATCACAATGGTTTTAAGATACCTCAAGAAACGTTCAGACTTTGAAACTGATAAAGTCACTTCTCCTGTATCTCGTACTGCTATCATAACATTGCTCGTTCGGCTAAATTTGACACCATGCGCTGATGCAGTGTTTGTTTGAAATTTACTATTTCAGTTTTTACGCTTCTTTGACATGGAGTATTCTTGGGATTGGTAAGATTTTATTTATCTACGATTTCAGTCTTTAAAGTGGTAGTTGGAGGGTTTAAGATGCGTTTTGGGGCTAGGCAGGGGACCCGGAAGATTGCTAAGTTGCATCGGGGGGGGGGGGGCAAGTATTCATATATATTCGACCTAATCTTGTACTTGCGAAGTTTGCACCAGACTTCATCAAATGTTCGGATCAGTAACCTACTTCAGTATTGTAAAAAAAACTAGGACAGCAATCTCTAAATGCGATATTTTTATTTTTTATTTTCCACTAAATATTCTTCATTTTCTTTAATTCACAGTGGAAGCCA